ACCTAACCCCAAGGTAATGGTATTAAGAGACAGGGACCTCTGAGAGCAGGGGCCTCATGAATTAGTGCCTTAATAAAGAGGGCTGGGGTAGCTAATTAATCCTTTTCCCCTTCTGCCATGTGAGGATACAGACAAGGCCCACCTATGAGGAACAGGCCCCCATCAGACACTGCATCTGCTGGTACTTTGATCTCAGACTTCTCAGTCTCCAGAACTGTAAGCAGTAAATGTCTATTGCTTATAAATTACCTAATGAAAGATATTTTGTTATAGCATCCCATTTGATGATTTTGATATTTTGTGCCATTGTAAGAATGCGTGGAACTATTAAAGTTCAAGGAGGGGCTCCTCACTGTAGCATACAACAGCGCTAGATGATCATATCATGGTTCCTGACAATTGGTTATTCATTCATTCTGCAAATATTTCCTGTATACTTACTAATACTTTCTGGCCCCCCAGGGTATAGATATAGAAGCTTTGGTTATAAATTGAGGAGTTCTTTCTTTATTCAACTGTGCAAGTGTAGCTTCTCTGGGGTGGTGGGTATAATGGGGGATCTTCACAGGAATCCCTTGGAAAGCTGGGTGCGCTCCAGGGAGGCAGCTGGTGCCCAGGATGTCTTTGGGAACTCCTACTTTAGAATTACTTTCAGATCCAATTTATAAACCAGGGGAAAAGTCAGGTTTAGCACTTTTCAATTATCTCTTTCCTATTATGCTTTTTTTTCCAGCAAGAAAGACAGGCCCCCTGCTCTAAGCCTCCTCCCACAACTGATCAGATGATGACATCTGACTATTAACAACCAAAATCGATTTATTTCTCAGATGCCTAAAAAGTTTAGACTTTAGCAAAGGACACACCTGAGTCTGAACCTGGAATCCACTTGGTCTGTCTATGTAATCACAGCCGAATGACCTAACCTTGTCAAGTCTCATTTTATGTCTTTAAAATAGATATGACAATATACCTTGTAGCATTTCCATGAGGATTAGAGAAAATATATGTGCAACGTCTAATGCAGCACCCTACATACAGACAAAGCCCAATAATGCTTTTGTGGTTTCTACCTCTCTGGCAAAGGACTTGCAGAACTTTACAAATGTTTTTGACCCCCCTGGCAGGCATGCCCCATTGTTCAGGTTCTACACACTCAGGAGAGTGGTGCCAGCATGTTTGTTTAAAAACAGCAAAATACAGACTTGCGGTGTCCTTGTTTTCTTATTATGCTTTGGAGAACCATGTAACTTAGATGTTTTCTTATCTGGTACCTCCACTGTACAGGGATGAAGCGGGGGAAGACCGAGGTTCTCCAGAGGGAGTAGTGCAGCCAATACCAATCCCTCAAGGCAGCAGGCAGAGCTGATTCCTAGAAGGAATCTGCAGTCCCAAGAAGGCCATGAGATTTAGACTTAAGGTTCAGGCATGCCAGATGCACAAGAGCAGGGATTCATCACCATCTCTTAACACTCTAGCGTCAGTTTGTTCAGCAAAGGTTGGGCAGTGCGTATGGCTGCTGGAAGGACATGTCTGCTTCTCCTCTCCCCGGGCCTTGGTGTCAGCTCAGATGATTTGCTAAGCACAGAAGAACATGCAGGTGGTCATTCACCACCTCACCAACCTTCCACAGGTACTGCACATCCTCCCAAATCAGCTCAGTTTTGAAAGCTGGTAACAACTGCTCCACCAGATAGACAGGGACACCAAGTCTTGCTTAAGACTAATGGACAAGCCTCCTATCTCCAGCTCACCACACTGAGTGGTCTGCTACACATCAGGAAGAACTTTAGAGGACCTCCCTTTTTCACCATCCCCACTCCAGCCCCATAGTCAAAGGAAATAACTTCTCTACCAGTACAAATTTGCCAAGAAATAAAATGTTAAGTCCTCAATCCTAGAAGGAGACAGAAAACAGAAGAAGTAAAGGAAGGATCGCAGGAGGATACTACACAGACAGGACGAAGTCTAGGGAAACAACGCAAGTTGGCAGGAAGAGCACATCTTTCATTTCGAGTCCAGCAGACTGGCTCTGTTCCTCCTTTAGCCATGTGACCTTGGACAAGCCATCCAACTCTTCTGCATGCCCACCTTAGAAGGCCATGAGGTTGCTGTGAGAATTCAACGAAATGGAAATGTATGAAGAGCTTCCTGCAGGGTGCCCTGCACGTGGAATTGATTAGGATCATCCTATGGAATGTCAGGGCTGGAAGAGGCTTGAAAGATGACCTAATCCCGGTGTCTCATTTCACAAACAGAGAAAGCAGGGCCTAGAGAGAGGAACTGACTTGCCCAAGGTCACCTGGCAAAGTCATGGTGATGCTGGGTCTAGCACTGTCAGTTTATTTTAATTTTTGTTAGGTTTTTTCAGTTAGTTTACTTTAAAATCAAAGATCAAAACTGATCAGTAGACCTGCTCTTATAAGTTGTGAAAGGGGTGCTGTTACCAGTCTTCCACGCTCTCCAGTGGCTCCTCCAGACTCTGAAGCCCTAAACTTAAGTTCTCCTTCTCTGCTTAACAAAGTAAAAACATGGTACTTCTGTCCAGAAAAAAAAAAAAAAAAAAAAAAAAAAAAAAAATATATATATATATATATAATATATATATGCATGTAAGTTTTAACACACCAAAAATAAAACTAAACTCCTAGGCCTCAACAGAAAGGCACTACTGTAAGCTTTCTTCTTTTTGCCTTCCTTTCTCACTACCCCCCGACCCAAATATTTTGCAATAATAGTAATGCTTCGAGGAAAGAAAAAATAAAAATCTGATGCACTTAGCAGATATTTCAGCACAATAATGTATCACAGATGTTCATATCAAACAGTGCATACGCGCATGCAATTTTACTGAGAAAGCTGTTGCATTTCTGACTTTGGGTCCTGGGATCCCTAACGACCCATCCACCCAGGTTCTGGAATTCCACCCTTTTCAGTTAGTCCAAGGCTGCCCAAGGGGTTGGAAGAGGGATTTCATCACCTCCCTCCAAAATGATAACAGGACAAATTGGCGCAGTCAGACGTTCCGGCAGGTGGTGAAGGGTCTGTAGATTAAGGAAAACCAAGAGGAGTCCTGTTTTCTTTTGTTGAAGACTTGCTTTCTGCGGCCCTTTTGAGAAGTTGGACCCAAGAACAATTTAAAGAGCGGGCCCAGGCTGGTGATGGTATGGGTGCATTTTTGAAACAGAAATCAGAGTCTGTTTGATCTTCAAACATGGGCTATGGAGACTGTCAGCGGGCTCCTTGCTGGCCGATGAATGGCTCTCAGGAACTTTTTCTAAACCATAACCTCACACACTTTCCAGCAAATGTTTTCACCGTACCAGAGCCCTCATTTGGTTGAACAGCAGCATTTCCAGACCCCGAAGAAAGATAGTTTTGTTGTTTTAAGAGAGACAGATTAAAGCCAGGGGCTGTTTAACCAGAGAGCTCGAGTGCTCCCTTCAGCCCTTGTCGGATTTCTCTGTGGTTGGTACAAAGAGGGTGTTGAGAGTGATGCTGGATCCCCCACCTCTCCAACCTCAAAAAGATATGGAGGCCGAGTGAGGCCTCTGAGCAGAGAGGCCCCCCACAAACGTGCCTCCAAATGAGATGGGCGGTGAGCACTCTCCCACCCCAGATAATATCAGCTCCCAAGCCTGGCAAGGAGAAAGTCACTTCAGAGGGAGAGAGCCGCTATGTTCAGAGGAATCAGCACCGGGCCAGAGAATATGCAGGATTTTCCCCCGTGGAGAAGGAGTCAGGCATAGTCAGAACCCCGCGGGGCGTGACTAACTGCCCCAATATTCCTGCCCCTGGGGCCCTCTGGGTAAGGACTCCACAATTATGGGAGAGCCAGCAGGAGAACCGACAAACCCGCCTTTCATTTGGCCGGCAAGTCAATCTGCCTTCTTACCTCCCTGGGGACAATATTGCATTTCCCCTGGAAAAACAAAGGCCAGAGATCTTGGAAGGGGGATCAGTTTCTGCCACGGTTTCCCTGGTGAAGAGGTTGCAACATCTCAGGAGCAGTAGGCAGGTCTGATTCCACGAGGGTTTCTGCCTGGTCATTTTGTGGCGCTGTCTTCTTAAGGGGGAGCAGGCACGTCTCGGGAGTTGGCCTCACTCAGAGGCCTGGGAGCCCCTACCCGGGATTGACAGTCCTGTTTTCAAGGCACAGATGCGAACTCATTGTTCCCAGGGCCTCAGAGTTGAGTTTGGGGCCAGTGAGTTGGGAGTGACCTCTGCCCATGGAGACAGGCCTTTAATGACATTTCGCTGGTTCAGGTCTCTGGCATCCAGAGACTTTAAACTTAAGCCCCTCCCTTTTCCCTGCCCCCACTCCTGAGGTTCAGAAATCAGAACTGTCAACCTTTAAGCAAACACATTTCTCTGAAATTATTAACCCCCACAGTCTCCTGGCTAACTTTCTCCCAGTCTTAGGGAGGCAGTCTGAGGGTGGTAGACCTTAGCAAAACCCAGAGAATTCTGCAGCACTTCACCTGAAACAGCCAACCAGTGCTTAGAGAAGCCAGGCTCCTGACACTTCTTCTACTAGCCCAAGCCAGGCACCACATCCCCGCTGTGCCTCTTCCTGCGGACCCATGGTCCAGGGGATGTGTCCACACAACAGCCTCATGACAGCCTCCTGCTCGCAAGGCAACAGGGCCTGGCAAGGCCTGACGCACACTGGCAGCTCCCTTTTTGTTCTGAATCACTCTGATGCTCCCGGGGAAATTCCTTCTGCTCAGGCAAGCACAGCAGGTGGACAGTGGATATCCCAACAGGAAACCATTGAAATAGAAGCAAACATCTAAACTCTCACCTCAAATCTTAACACACACCGGTTCCCCTCATCCTACAAAAGCAGCCCAACAGGTGCCCTGGGCCAGAAAGGACCTCTCCCTTTGGAGACAGGACCTGGCTCTGGCTGCCTACTGGAAGAGGTAGGCAATAATCAGGAAAGAAGAATAAGGTGCCAGGCTTTCCAGGCTGCCAGCTCCCGGTTGGCACACATCGCCTACCTGAGAGAAGTTGAGCCCATTGAGTGGATGGCACTGCTCCTCCACCCGCTCCACAGCACCGGTGCTCTTCTTCATCTTCTCAGCTTGCTGGGCCAGGTAGAGGTCCAACACAGGCACTCCACGGGAGCGCACATCGGTCTCCGTGAGTGAGTTCACCATGAGCATCACCCACACGGGCCTCTTGCGCTCCCAGTTGCCTGCGATGGCGTTGAACAGGTAGTCAGCATAGAGCCCTTTTCCCCTCTGTGCGGGCGTCATCCAGGAGGGCATCATCAACTTCACATAGTCTAGGTGGCGCTTCAGGCGCCAGTAGAGCTCCTGAGGAAGCACGTCCTGCAGGTTCTCCCCAGGGGGCAGCAGCTGGCAGCTGGCCAGCGCTGAGACTGTGTAGGGGTCCGTCAGGTCCAGCTCGAAGTAGACACGGGCACTGGCCTGGAAGGCTGCCTTGGAGTTTTCTGGGATGAAGTCCCAGACCCGGGTATAAGGGACGTGGATGGTGCCAAACAGGTAGGCTGGGGGATGGCGCCGAATAGTCCACAGGAAGGAGTTCAGGTCCCTCTGCTGCGGGGGGGGGGGAAAGAAGACAGGCCAGGCAGTGAGGCTGAAAGCAGCAGAGGGGAGCACAGAGGGGTAGCACAAATGGGAACAGGAGAGGAGGGGAAAGAAGCTGAAAAACCCACATTCAAATCTTGGCTTTCATCTTTTTTAGATGAAAGATCTGGACTGAATCATTTCACTTCCCACAGACTCAGTTTCCTCAAATGGAAGAGAGAGCACAAGCTTCTGGGAGGATTAAAAGACGCGATGTGTATATACTGAGCCCCCAGGGCCGTGCCAGGCACAGAGGAAGTGGGCAATGAAGAGAAGCTCTCATTATGACCAGCTTTCGCTGTGAGAGCCAAGCACTGCACCATACCACCTGAGAACATTCAGACTTGGCCAAGTCAAACCTTCACCAGTGGTGTTTTGTGTGGAGGGTGGGGAGAGGGGGACCAAGAGTCCTGCTCTGGCAAGAAGGGAGGAAGTCATATAACTTTAAAATCCAACCATTAGAAGATACATGCCAAGAGCACTTTGAAAGCAGAACACCTATTAAAAATAGCACACCTATTTCAACAGCTACTTCCCATTCATCAGGGCGGATACGGTTTTCTTCTTGGAGGGCAGGTCTGGGGTGTTAGCTACTTTGCTCCACCAGCTGAAACCATAGATGAGAAAGTGCCTTAAAATCCTGCAAAGCCAAGTAAAGTCTCAATTTCTGGCTTGGGAGGCAAGAATTCCATAGAAGGGAATCCCAAGAAATGTGCATTATTCTGGGTGCTTTCCATATCAAAAATGTACACTTGCTCTCCATCCCCAATGCTGTCATTTTCTGTGATCAAGCTCTCACTAAGTAGGAGTGTGTGTGTGTGTGTGTGTGTGTGTGTGTGTGTAGGGGCATGCAGATCATGACCACATCTCCAGGCCCAGATCAGGGCCAGAGGGTAAGGGGTATGAAAAGGAGACTGTCATTTCTCTTAGGCAAAGCCATTTTCCATCCAGAAAGTCCCTGGAGTCCCAGTGACCACTTGCGAGCTTTAGATAAATTCAACATTTTTTCTGCTGGATTCTGGTACAAATGAAAAATATGCATTGGGGGTGTAGATGGGGAAACAGTTGCTTATTTTGATAACAAGTAAAAGTTGTGAATCCCAGCACATTCAAGATAGACTGATCGCTCCTACAGCTAACCAGGCCCCCCTGTTCTGCAACAGGCCAGCTGCTGGTGCTGCACCTTGCCCAAGGACAACTAATCCCCTGCTAACGGGGCAGTGCACCAGACCCCAGAACACAGTTTTCTGGTCTTCGGACTTCCAGTTCAGGGTTATTGCCAATGCATCACTTAAAGGTAAGGATACTGGTGAAAATCAAGGAATTCCTGACTTTGGAAGGAAAATTATGAGAATCAGATTCCCCACCCCCCAAGGAAACATTAGGGCAACAAGTCTTGGCATTTCCTTTTGCTCTCCTCTGGAGTCTTGCCCCTATTCACCTAAACAAACAGGAGCACCTTGGACAGTCGTGCTAGAGCCTGGGCTTCACGGGGAGAGAGGAAGGGGAACAAGCGCTAGGGAGAAAGTGTGCCTTGGGTCGAAACAGGAGGGCAGGGAGAGGGAGGGGAGCCTGGGAAGGGGCAGAGTGTGTGAGTGAGAGGGCAAAAGGTTTGGATGGAACTTGGAGAAGAGAAGGGCAAGGAATGTGGGAAGATAGAGTCCGAAGAGGACAGGGACCAGAGGGTCAAGACAGGATAAAAGTCACAGAGAACTGAGACAAAAAGGGCACACCGAGCGGAAACGTCCAAGGAGGACCAAAGGCAAGAGGAAAGCCCGAACGTCAGCGAGTGGAGAAGGAACGGGAGAGAGGAAGCGCCCCATCTCGGCTCCGGAGCCGGGGCAGACATAAGCAGGAGATGGGCGCCGGCGGCTGTGCCCGGAGGGCAGGGAAGGAGCGGGTGCGCTGAGTAAGAGGGTGCGGAGAAGGGCAAGAACCAAACCACCGCCTCAGGGCTGAAGTGCCCAGGCGGGCGCGCGGGCGGGAGATTGGCCGGGCAGGCGCTCGCTCACCGATCCGGGCGGCCGGCACTGTCCTCCGTCCGGGGGCTGCGGGCGGGCGCGGGCGGTGGCGAGGAGAGCGGCGAGCAGTGGCCCCGCCAGGGCGGCGTGCATCCTGCCGGGGCCCGCGGGGAGCGGGGAACCCTCCTGGGAAGCGCCCCCTCAGCCAGGCGGGTAGTCCCCAGCTGGTACGGAGGATCCTTTGGAGCGCGGGGCTCCAGCCGCGAGATGCTGGGAGCCCTCTGGGACGTGGCTGGATGTCCCTGTTGGACCTGGGGGTCTCTCTGGGGCGGGGCTCGTTCTGTTGGAAGAGGGGGACCCTCTGGGGCGGGGCCCCTCACCAGGGCGCGCAGCCCGGTTGGCCAAGCGCCGGGGCTCTGAGAGCGCGCAAAGGTCCCGGGGCACGCAGGGGTCCCAGAGCTGCGCCGGGGTCCCGGGACACGTGGGGTTGCTGGGGCTGCACCGAGATCCCAAGGTGCGCTGGGTCTCGGGTTATGTGGGCACCCGGGGCGCGCAAGGGTCCCAGGGGTGCGCGGCGCTCCAGGGGGCGCGCGGTGGGACAAGTGCGGTGGAGGTCGCAGCGGCGCGGGGGTCGCGTCTGCGGCGCCCGGTTGCCCCTGC